CCATTATCGCTCAAGAAGACTTTGATTTTTTTTAGTTACTTCCAAGTACACGTATAGTAAGTCATGGTCAATATCAAGACTGTTGATGTTGGAAATTAGTGTATTGTATTCAATTTTCCGAGTCGTCCAAAATTTAATATGATTAAAATGAGGAACCGAATCAACCCTAGTTTCCAATTAACCAAAAATAAAATAAGAACCCTCTAGTTTACAAAGCGGCAAGAACTTATCTGAGAGCATCATTATCAATGAAACTGAATGGGTATCAATCATTAAAATGGATTAAAAAAATTGGGTTCAATGATTTTTGGGCTTAAGTCGTCTCACCTGATTTTCTTGAATCGTCTCATCGATGACGTGTCACACGCTGGTTTGGTTTGAATTTTTTAGTTGCAGACTTTGTTACTCTTCCACAACGGCGCGTGAAAGTCGATGTTCTTCAACTTAAAAAAATGAATTTTGGGCTTGTTTTTTCTTATCATTTTTTTTGTTTTACTTTATGCGATTTTATGTTTCAATTTGTTTTTACCAATTATAATATACGTTTAAAAATTTATGAAACTTAATAAATTCAATTTTTTATAAAATCTTGTATATATATACTAATTTTATTTTCTTTCATTTTCTTTTTTTTATAAAAAAAAATTATTTTTCTATTCTTTAGAATCTCATTGAGTATCATCATTGGACATACAAAACTTTACAAATTTTTAATGAGTCTCAAACATTAAACTAGTATTAAAATTAATAATAAATTATTGCAAATGATACCCCCACTCAGTTTTATTGATAATGATGCTCTGAAACACAGGGATTGGGGAAAAATGCAAAAAAAACCCCAAAGAATCTTTGTTTCATCTAAAAAACCCCAACAAAAAAATAGTGATAATTAAACCCCAACCTTTTAATTTAATGCAAATAAAACCCCAAATTTTTAGTTTAACGCAAATTAAACCCCCAAAATAAATGTTGTTAAATCTGTTAAGGTTTAATGGTCTAATTTAAGGTTATACGTTCATTAAACAATTATTATCAACAAATCAATTCTT